CCGGCCATGCAACGGAAGAGAACAGAAAATACAAATGTTTGTTGGTTGGCATCATCTCCAAAACAGTTTATTGACCTTAACATTGAAATATATTTTTTATAGAAAATTCCAATAGAATGAATTTTTGTTCTAAATTCGAACCAAAGTATTTGTATGGCATCAATTTTATCTTATTTATATTATAATAACTACAAATCGATTCTGAAACTTTACCTAATTCCATTATTTTATTTTCCTCATTTCAGGTGATTATTTGGGTGAAAATAATGACTTTAACAAAGAAGTTTTAAAGGCTTTCGTGGCATTGCATGATTTTACAAATTTAATATTGGTTCAAGCTTTAAGGTAAGCATTATCTTTATACTTTTGTATTTGCCAACAATAAAAAACTCATTTATGTTTTTCTCTTTCTTTTTTTCTCATTAACGCTTTGCAGACAATTTTTATGGTCCTTTCGTACCTGTTATGTTTTAAGTTTTGCCATCATCATGTTAAATACATCGTTACACAATCCATCGGTATGTAATATTATTCCACCCCCCACAACCTACCATTCCTTCCTAATAATGTTATCTCCATAATTTTGTTAGAGAGAGGAGGGAAGCTTTATTTACATTTTCTATACACAATGGTCCCTTATAATGTAAATGTTGTGGCAAAACGACTATGGAAAGGGGAAGCGAAGAGTTTTTCGTCGTATATCAACATTTGTTGTATGCATAATTTTGCCATTTTTTAGTCACTCAGTTGATATTGTTACCCGGCTACTTTTAGAATATTCCCATCCTGTTCGCATTCTCCTGTTGTCATTAGTATAAGGCCTTTGTAGCGGTGTGTGTGCTTTGTACACAAATCAACGTGTGCCAAAATAGTTTATTTTTATCGCCACCATTGTATATTTATATCAAAAGATATATGTTTAGTATTCTATTATTTGCTGCATCATCAGGGCTAAACCATGCCTAGGCACACACTCTTTAATTTATATGTAATTTTTGTATTTGAAAATGTATTTTTAAAGAGATCTTTCATGATGTACAGGGAACTAATAAGAGGATAAATTTTGTGTCAAATTGTAGATGAACGAAACTTTTTTTGAAGATCCTCCAAAACATGGGGTTTGAATTCTTCGACAGCATCTTCTGGCGATGAAAATCGTTGACCAATAAATGCCTTATTCTCACGTACTAGGTACATCTAATCTTACCTTGGTTAAAAATATACGATTCGTTTATTGTGAAAGTGGTTTTAAGTCCATTGTTTTCTTATAATGAGATATTAGTTTTTGTTTCAAAAAATTTCAAAAATATTGTTAAGTTGTATTAATTTTGTTTTTGGCTTTGTGCCCTTAAACATGATATAACGTAATATGTTTTGTAAACTTTACTAGAAAACCAAGATATGTATCAGAACCTTAAATGGACATAAACCACCTTCAAAATAAAAAAACTCATATATACCTATTCGTACATCAAACCGCACTGAATACGTAGTAACCTTACCGTTATTATCACCTTTATATCGAACAACCATTGGGTATATTTTGTATATTTTCGAACTATTTCTTAATAGATGCCTGTTAAAATTGTTCATATTAAGCTCCAAATTTATAAAACCAACTCGAAACATGTTGCAGTGCATTAATTATTTGAGTTTAAAAAATTTTAAAAATTATGTCTAAAAATAATAACGAAAAATATGACGGTTTGAGCAACTCTATCAGGATTATGGAAGTTTCAATTCTTTATTGTTATAAATAATCAAATCTAAAAAAATAGTCAATAACTTCAATTTTAATTCCATTCTATTCACTTAGGTCAAAGACAAACCCACTGTTGAACAATTCATTTCAATGAATCGCGGTATTAACAACGGCGGTGATTTGCCACGTACCCTGCTTGAATCTCTCTACGAATCGATACGAACGGAACCCTTCAAAATACCCCAGGATGATGGTAATGATTTAATGCATACCTTCTTCAATCCCGATAAGGAGGGTTGGCTATGGAAACAAGGTGGCAGGTAAGCGATTTCGAATTATTTGCAATGTAGTATTTGGAATGATATTAACCTTTTTAGTATGTTCTCCAGATACAAATCATGGAAGAGACGTTGGTTTATATTGAACGACAATTGTTTATATTATTTTGAATATACAACAGATAAAGAGCCCAGAGGGATAATACCATTGGAAAATATATGTGTAAGTATATGAAATTATTTTGTCGACGTGTGTGTGTTTGAGCGAAATGTAATAAAAGTAGACACAAAAAGTGTTTTAGTAATTTTTTTTTTTTTTTTTTTTTGGTGTTATGGTTTTCCGCTCTTTCTATTGCTTGTATTACAATAATTGTAGTCGTCTAAATATCCATATTTTCAATTAAAATAACCATGTTAACCTTGCAACATCTCCCGATAGTTTGATATTAAGGCCCTAGTCGTTTGTATGGTAATGTTAACATCAAAATCGATGATCGTCGTTAAACTTTCCTTAAAACATAATGAAGCATAATTTCGTCGTGTGCTTTTTATCATCCATTATCAGAATATTATATCCGACATAAAAAATATAATCGATTTACCTATATCGAAATATTTGTCCGTTCGTCTGCGGCAATCTCTCGGAAAGAATTAGCATTCTAATATTTTCACAAGTAATGCTATGCTTGCAAGTTTTTGAATTTAAAAATTTTAAATTCAGATATTATTCCCTTCATTGTATTTTTGTTCTATTGTAACCCTATGGCCACATTATGAAAATTTTGATCAGATGTCAGAATCAATTTGCTTGTGATTGGACATATTAAGTTATTAATGGTCGGTAATATGTTTCACAAAAGGCCTATGACGGCAATAGCAAATCCATTTGAAAATAATCCATAAATGGCCTATGACATGTATTCGTTATGTTGCGTTTGAATTCCACTTTATGTTGTGAGCTAAAACATATTCCTTCACATCTTTTACCCCAAACATAATGCTAACATAGATTGCACATTTTATTCTCCGATGTTAGATAAAAACAAATTGTTGCGTATTTAATAAAGGTTGTGGGAAATGATGCATCCTCTTAAAAACATAATTGTTTTATATATTATTTCCTCAAACCTGCTTCATATAAGAAATCCTTTCATCCGTTTTGCTGATTCAATTCGTGAGCATGGGGAGTTGTTTTGATCCGCTTTTAACATTGTCTATAAAATGTACTGATTTGTTTACAGGTTCGAGAAATTCATGATCGCAGTAAACCCAATTGCTTTGAACTCTTTGCTACTGGTGGAGCAGAAATTATTAAAGCATGTAAGACTGATTCGGAAGGCAAGGTAAGTCAGCACAGACCATAAAATTATATTTCATAAAAAACAACGATTAATGTGACTTATTTTTCAGGTTGTTGAGGGCAAACATAGCGTTTATCGCATGTCTGCTGCCACAGAGGAAGATCAACAGGAATGGATAAAACGGCTAACACAATCCATTAGTCACAATCCGTTCTATGATATTTTAGTACAAAGAAAGAAAAAAGCTTTAAGTAAAAGTTAGTATTAGCTTTACAACATTGCAATAGGAACAACACGAAGAACAACAATTAAAACAACATCAGTGGCATCCACAACTATTATAGTATATTAACCACATGAACCGTAACAACAACACACCGAACATACCACAACAACACTGTCATTTTTCATTCTTTTTTTTACATCAACACAAAATTAAACAAAGAAAAACAAGGAAAATTCTGATCCAGAGCTACAACATTCAGCATCAAGAACTCTTCGAAACGAATTGAAAACAACAACAAAAAACCAAGTGCAAAAACTAAATATTATATAAACATTATTATTAATTTTATTATTTTTATAGTTTAGTTACATATGTGTATATCCTTAATTTTTATTGTAACTCTTTTTTTTTTGGGATCTCATATGAATTTTGAAAACCATTTCAATAATGGACACGACACACGAAAAAGAGAAAAAATATTATACGCGAGAAACCACCTCATGTTAGCAAATGAAGCTGGAAAATTTGTCAATTTTAAACGTTACAATTGTTTTTGTTTGTTTTTTTCTTTCACGCTTAAAATGAATTTAATGTTTTGTTATTAAGTCTTAGTTTATTTAAAAATAACTTTTTCCCACAGAACCATATTTTTTGTCTACTGTCTGAATTATTATTATTTTGTAAAATAATTTAATTATCCCGTTTTGTTTTTGATTACTCTGTGTATGTAATTATATTTCTCTTTCACGCTTTAATTGTATTGTATTTGGTGTAACTATATATATTTTTCGTGTATTGAATTCAATGTCGTCCTACATATATAAATATTAAATGCTATTTTCCACTATTGTTTAGCAATTAGTTTAAATTAAATTAATTGCCATTCTCCTTTTGATATTGTTATATCCTTTAAAAAATATTCTCTAAACTTTAGAAAAGGTCTTTAGATAGAAATATTTCTCGTAAATAAAAAAACAAAACCAATTTGTATTTAAAAAAGAAATTTGTTTATTTTTCATTTCAAAATATTGGTCGAAAATCGGTTGTAAGAAAATGGACGAATAAAAATGATAACGTTTGGAATTATGAACATAACTACCATGGAAATGTGTTCATAAATGTATGCGTCGAAGTAAAAGGAAATGTTTTTAAAGTAAAAAAAAAACAATTTAAGACTCCTATAAAGCCTAGTTAAAACTTTCATCTGTAAAATTCGAAGTCAATATATTAGAGATGGCATGTCAAATTTGTGCACATATTATGAATATGCTTAATTGTGTTTTTCTAAAAATAATAATACAAACTGACGGAAGTTGACTAAAAAAACGTATTATTTTAAAAAAATATTGTAAACACTTTATGCGCACAAGCTTATAACGAAATGTTGTTGCACTTCAGGTTCTCTTAAATTGTTCTACCGATTAAGCTACTATGAGGAAAATTTATATCACACAATATACCGATTTTATAATCTTGTAAAATCATGTTTTCAAATAATTAAAAAATAATTATTTTTTCACTTTTGAATTTAATTCCATAGTTCTGTAACAAAAGAACAACAAATAATCTTCTGGAAGGGAAAAAAATGTTAATGAGTTAGTCATAATCGGAGTTTTTTTATTCTCATGATAATTGTTTACCTAGAGATAATTCCTTGCGGATATTCATAATCGGGCTAATTTTTTATTACACAAATGAAAAAATAAATTCCTTTAGCAGTTTTGTCATTAGAATGTATCCAAACGCAGGTTCCGTTACATAATTATGCGATTTTAAAATATCCACTGTGTACAAATAAAGCCGATGCTCAACGGGTGAAATCGCGATATTAGGGGCATAAAATACTTCCCGACAAGCTACTTTACCATATTTTGATTGCAGAATTCTAATGGTAGAAAAATGGATTAGAGAAAAGATGGGCGGGCTATGCCCCCTCAATGTTGGATTCTTTGTGGATGTTGGGAACATTTTTATATCGAATTGGCTGTAACTTGTTATTTTGGGTTAGCATCGTATAGAAAATCTCCCTCCCAAAAATGATCAATATCGGACCAATTTTTCGGGTAGCCCCTATATAACGGTATACCCCAGTATTCGGTAAAAACTATTAACATTGTTCACGTTTTTAAAGTAGTCCCCATACCCCGAAATTTCGGTATTTACGTGAGTCTGGGCAAGTTTTTTTATGTTTTGGAATCTTATTTATTGGAATGACTGATACCACAAAAAGGAACGGATCGAAACTATCTGAAATATTATTAAAAATGTTTAACTAAACTGTGACCAGTTAAACCATTAAACCCGCTAGCCAAAACAAGGGTCGATTCTTCAACGTCCATTCTACACAATACGACATATAAAATTCAAAATGTTTTCTCATTTCTGGAAAGTCTACCACATTTTAGTTAAAAATTTAGATAAGTTCCGAGCTCTAATACATATAATTTCCTTCATTTACTGTACATTTAGTATGTAATCCTTTTTATGTAATTATTGATCCTGATGAGTGTTTCTGCAAAAATATTAAAAATTACATCATTAGCAATCATTTGTAGACACTTTTAGCATAACTTCAAACTAGAAAAGTCCTAGCCTAATTTTCCAATCTGTAATTTTCCTGTTCGCAATTTGGATAATAATTTGACATAGTCCCCATGTAATAGACTCTTTTCGTGGTAGCTCTGTCTCGGTTATTGAAATTCATATTCGAAGGACTATCTGTGGTACACTGTGGCAAATTGGGCAAAGACGTTTGTGTATCATTTCCATGCTAACGTGTATATTTTAACAGTTAGGTGGTTAGGTATTGAAAATATAAAATTTTTTTTAAAAGGGTTTCTTACCTAGCTCCTTTCAAATTTTACAAATTAAATTTTTTTAAGTTTTTGCTAGAAAATCGTTCCAGTGTCCAAAAAAGTATTAGCAATTGTAGACTTATTTAGGAAAGAACAAAAATGGCTTTCCATTTTGCGCCTTTTTACAACAAAATGGCCTGTTGGTTAGGTTTTAAAGAATTGTCATCCGGTTCTGATATTTAAATAGTTGACTGTACATTGGTATTATGTGCAGAAAGAAAGAAGACTCTGAGGATATAGTTAGTCCAATTTTATATGAATTGTGCACTAGAGACACTGTCTGCCCGGTTGACAGGTAATTTGGCATAGACTAAAACTAGAATATCGTTTGTTAAGCTTAAAATTAAGAAATAGCCCCCACAGGAGATTTAGCATAGACATAATTTTGTTTAAATCGTTTCAAATTTAGATATAGCTCCACATATATTGTGAACTGTGCACCAAATTGCATTTGTGCCATTATTTCGTCAAATTTCACCCTAATGATTTGATGGGTATTTTTTTTTATTTCGAGTTAGGAATAGAAGAATGTCGTGTATCAATTTATATTTATAGAAATATATAGCACCCATATAAATTATGGGTGCTTTATGATTAAAAATTTGTATTTTCCGGCCGATATTGGCTTTTCATCTTTACAAAAGTATGAAAGAAACGGTAAGTATTTGCTAAATCGAATAAAGTTCACAGAACGATATACCTCCCCAACCGCTTACATAAAAATAAATTAAGCGCCTATTGAAGAATCTGTGATTTATGCGCAATGTCAAATTATTGAAGGGATGGGATATTAATATATACAGGCCAACTTGTTCTATAGTTCAAGATTTCGCAGGATAACATAGTGATTTCAAAGAGTTTATATATTTTTACACACAGAAATGTGCGATTGACTCCCATTGAATAGCAAGAAACCAAAGATGTTTCCTTAAATACTAATATTTCCTTAAACACTAATATTAATATCGATATCACTTACATTTTCTTTAACAACAGGATAAAAATTCGTTGTTGTTCCTGGAAACGGCATTATATGCGATTTGAAATATTATATCTGCTTTTTATGAAATTTTCATTATAAAATAATTGTATATAAGTTCATATTTTGGTAACTAGCTGAAAGCAACAAAAAAATCCTTTAATCATGTAATTTCATTTAATCATGTTCATTAAATTGTTGTTTAGTTTTTAAGAAGCATAGATTTAATTTAAATTGTATTCTATTTCATTAATATAGACATGTGCTTATTTGCTGAAAATATGATATTTTTTGAAAGTATATAAATACTTATAAATATAATGGACGCATGTGAGCATATTGCACACCAATACCATAATGAATTATCCAGAAACTCAATTATTTATTTAGAGTATACAAAATAAGTATTTATATAACATAAAGTACATATGATATATGATTAAGCCATATACATACAAACAATTATATATAGAAACAATAGAATCGATCAAAACATATATAGAAGTAGATAAATGTTAATTCATAATCATATACTAATATAAAGGAACAAAAAACAATGTAGATGTGTATTTTACGTTATTTAAAAAAATATATCTTTTATTTAAATATATTATTCATATATAATAAAAATAAAATATGTGTTTTAACTGTATTATATTTAAATAAAATAGATTATTATTTTATTAGATAAATAGATAAAAGTATTATAAAAATGTAATATATTCGAAATAAATTGTGAACTTGTGAAATAGATTAAAATAAAATCTGATTAAAGATAAATTTACACGTTTTATGTATATAAATGTTTTATTTTGACTATGAATGTCGTTGGAAGCACTAATGTACAATATGGAAATCGTTAGAGCGGGTCTATATACACCTATAAATAATGGCTATACTTAATTTTACCTGAATGAAAGAACCGATTGATGTTTCTTAGGAAGATTCGAGGGATATATCCTGACGTTATGATGTTCCTGACGTTATGATGCGTTTATAGTCATTAAATTAGTATTTATGCTAAGAAAAAGAAGGAAAAATTACAAATGTGGGGTTTTTTGTATTTTTTGCATTTACTTTACGTATTTAAGCACAATTAAAGAAACCAATTCTTCGACTTTGCTTTAGTTTTTTTCGGAAGTACCCATATACATAGAACTACTTTTTGAGTCGATTTATGCGTGTCCTCCCATCCATGTTTTATTTTAGAGAAGTTATGTTTAAGTTTGATACGTTGGCCAACAACCTCCAAAGCCCAGTCAATGACGGATGCTGATTGACAGCTC